CCTCTTTTTAGTAAATACTAAGTCATTAAAATAAATTTGAATTCAAATAAATGACCTGTGATTCGTTAAACCTATTAGAAATGTGATATAGTATAAAATCTTAAGATAAAATTTTTAAAACTGATATCTCTTCAAAAAGTTAAAATTTTGGCTATAATCAAGTCTATTAAAAATTGAAATAAGTGAATTGCAATGGAAAAACCTGCATAAACAAATAAATTCTAGTAAAAGAAATAAATTCGTGATATAAATCAAAAATCGTCAAAAAAATTTGTAATATATAAATTGGTGAAAAAAAGCGCTTTCGACAAAATACTAAAATAGAGATCTATCGACAAAGACTACTCACTTCTGCTTAGCTTCTGCTTAGCTCACTTCTGCTAGTTTTCAAAAGCGCTATATGTTGAGCCATCTCAGCTAGATTTGGCATGTGACATTTTTAATGGCAATCATTGGTTGATTTTCTAGCGTTGCCATTTGGGGAGTTGTAATGAGGCTTTTTCTTGTCGCCGTGTAAGAGAAATATATATATATAAATATTTTTATTTAATAATAACATACTAGGTTAAACCCGTAAACTAATGTATTTTACTTTTAGATGGCTATAAATACTTTTGAAATAGAGAAAAACTTTTTTCAAGTAAGCTGAAAGCAAGAAAATAGTTAGCCTTGTATCACCCCTTAGAATTAAAAAAAAGTAGGGTACATCACTTTGAACCAAGTTTGGGTAATTTTCGATGGACCCTACGTTTTTAGTTTTAGGTTTGGAGAAAATTCGTCTATTTTCGTCTTCATTATTTTTTTATTTTTATTTTTCTTATTTCCAATGAGCTGCACAATCAGTCTTGCCGATGAGCAGACCTAGTGCGTTCTCCAGAGGTGGTATCCACTCTTTCAGGACCACCACAATGGGTGAGATACCATACCGTTGGTCATCTTAATTTGGACGTCTAGTTTCTGCCACACTAGATGGTAGAACCGAGACTCTATTTGGATGCTAAAGTGCACTGGGAATTTAATTTTGCCGGAAATGCCAAGAGCCAATAAGGCACTCCAGGGATCTTTTACATGCCGCATAATCATACGGCATGGCCGCTGAGGATTTACGTCTTCATAGATTGCTTGAAAAATGTATGGTTTAAAAATTTTATATTATTATTTTCTTTTTAGTCTGCCGAAGTTGGTTTAAATCAAAAAGCGTTCGAAATTTTGATTGGCGATAAAAGGGAGATGGATTTTGCAACATTGAGGAAACAATTGTAATTTGTTCACGATGAATTTTTCTGTCTTGATATAAACTTTCTGTCCTGAAGTGTTTAGCCAGGCGTGGACAATTCGGTTAAGGATTTTAAGTAATGTATGTACAAGTCCACGTCCTGGAGGCTGTCCTGAAGTGTTCGAAATTTCGATTGATGATAAATTCTACTTAGAGACAAATTCTGCTTAAAAAATTCTAAAAAGGATTGAAGCTTGTGTGGTGGCAAGCGCAGCATTGCAATTGAGATTTGAACATTCTAGCTTGCCGAAAAGAGGGGGAATTTTAGGAAATTTAGCAATGAAGATAAAATTCGCTTAGAGGTTAGGAAATGATTAAAAAATACATTGTCATCAGGTATAGGTCTCTATTTGAGATTTAAGCATTGCAGTTAGCCGGAAAATAGTTGAAATTTTGATTGACTATACATTTCTTATTGTGATATATATTGGCTACCGTGAAACGACTCTTATTATCAGATACAGAACTGAAGTAAAAATATGGAGGCAAAATTACTGAAGGGTCATCTTTAAAACCTGACGTAATTGAGCTAAACGGTTTTCAGATTTGAAATCAGCATAGCAAACACCATTAGAAAAAGTAAACATTATGCCAGATATATAAATAGCTTGTTCTTTTAGTGTAATTGCTGTTTATCTTAATGATTGGATTAAACCAGATGATAGCGGTTTCGCTGCACAGATGTTTTCTTAAATTAAAAGCTATTGCCCGGTATTCCCTTCGTTGAATTTTAAGTCCAACTGCTTCACTTATCCTGCATTACCTTCATCGATGTTTCCTGAAAATTAAGTTACACTGCCCGGTATTCTCTACACTGAAGAGTTTTTTAATATTGGAAGCACTGAGCTCCTGAACAAAATTGTGTGGACATTTCCTTGACATCCATTACTTTCCCATTGAATAGCATGGAGGAAATTTGTTATTTTCATCAACACGAGTTGAAAGTTCTGGAAAAGCCGGGAATTATGATCTGGGGATTTTAACATTAGTCAGTTATAATTGGTGAATCGATTGTTATCATCCTAATGATATAATACGATTAATCATGATTAAAAAATTATACCAGTCTGCCCAAGGGACATTAAATTATTCCCATTTTATTTACTGTGATGTATTTCTCTCCGGTTTTTGCAACTTTCTATGGAAGAGAGGCAACCGGGGAGATAGATTGCTAAGATTAAAAAGCCATTCTCTGTCGATGAAAAATTGATCTTGTACTTCACTAAAGATATTTGCCGTGAACTTCTAGATAGAAGCTGCTGTAGAAGAGATAGCATATCGCTCATGGTCTGCAATAGCGGCACAAGTCAAAAAATCAATATTTGAGATAAGTTGGTTTAAAGTTTTCATTGCTAAGCAAAATGCATAAGAAATGCTTTAGTTTGCTTAAACGAAGATTACCTTCAAGTTGAATTATGAGTTGTGCTAGTATTGCTTCTGAAGGAATGTGTATTTTCACATTTACACCTGTTCTTAGTCCAAAACACGTGTTTGAGTTGTGCCACTATTTCAGCCCATGAGCGATATGTCCTTGTTGCTGCGACTAAGCTCATTGAAAAAAATGGTCGAAAACATTGAGATACAATTGTTAGAGATGGATTAATAAATCACAGTGGCACACACTTCAAGTTGATGAATATACAGATATAGACAACGATGCAAAACTACTTGTTTATGTGCGATATCTACATCAGGATTATCTACATTCATTTCTTGGTGTAACTGTATTTAATTTTGAAGTCATATTTAAATAAAATAAAATATTAAAATTATTAAATCAAAACAATCTCAAATATAAACAATCTCCCCCCCCCCGTTACCGGGCCGAGGTAAAATTCAAACGTTGACTGGTCCGTTGCGATAAAAAGGTTGAGGAAGAGCCTACTAAAGCACGAAAAACTAAATTTCAATGTTTATGCTTTTATATTTGTATGCCATAAACGATTGTGTTCATTAAAAATATTATCTACAAATATTTATTCTAGAATACTTGAGGTCTTGAGGTGATATTCTCATTAATTAAACTGACTTTCCTTATCCTTAACCTTGAATGCGTTAATTGATATTTATCTTGTTCATATGTCTCTTAAATCAACATTTAGGGTTGATACAGATTTTATAATTTTCTGGTAGAAATATTGTCATTTAAAATACAAAATGTAATTTTTTACACCGTTGTAACTACATCAGCGAGAAAATCCAAGGAAAAAAGTTATTATTTTTTTTCAGTTCAGCTTCCTTTTTCAAAATTAAGTTAAGGGCGTTGTTTTCAGTATCACTAAACGTCTTCCGCCGGCACTGAATGTTTGTAACACCCAGCGAGGTCCTGAACAAAATGGCTTCGTTTAATTAATATTCTAATTTTCAAATCATTTCCTTCATTTAAATTGCTGCTTAACTTAAATTTTCAAAATCATAAATTGTGTTATACGTGTATTATAATGTGTTTCATGTTTAAATTGTATTTGATGGTGATGAAAAAAGCATAAAAAAAACTTACAAATTTTTGTTTATGAAGAAAGTTTATTCTTTCACATTTTCTTTTTTGTAATCAATGGAATAGTACATGGTAAATATGAGGGATGAAACTGTAAACATTTATGATATCAACTCTCAAAGTGAACTATTTACAAATAAAAACATCGAATTGAAGGACTGTGATGTCATACATTCTTACTTAACTTAAAATAAATACATAGATTGTGGTGGATAGCTGAAAAATGAGCAAAAAATGACGACGAAATCATTTCGTAATAAGATCTTGTCAGATACGAGTGATAATTATGTATACACCATATCATTTATATAATTTAAAAATTTACGGGCAACCAATTGCACTGTTGAACAAGTTGGGGTAACATCATAATAGAATGATATTGCATAGCGTTTTTCTTACATCAACCCTAACGTCATCTTTACTTTCTATCTCTTGGCGATAATGCTGTCGTTCTTACTCAAAGATATGGAGATAATATCTTAAAGTGGAGCTATCTTCCTTTCGTTGAAAATATTTTAATTATTAGCTTGGATATCGAATGTTTAAAAAAAATTTACTATTAAATTTGATTTACTATCAAATCTCTTTTACTGGCATAATCTACAAAAAATTTTATCATTTGCGAAAATTTAAATTATATTAATTAAGATATTACTTGATTAGAAACTTTATTCGCTTTAAAATAACACAGACGGGAAATAGAATAATACAGATTGCGATTGACTTACTTCCTGCACTCAAAAATAGGCGCCCATTTTCAAGATTCGCCAGACGTGAATGAGAAGAAAGAAAAGTGATTTGAAATAAAAATGGAAAGTTGCCAAACAAAACTACCAAACTGTCAAGTTGCCAAATAATTACTAAGTTAAGAAAACAAAACTAGAAAAACCTCAGTAGCCGAGAGAGAATAAAAATAAACATGAAGAACCAGAAAAAAGAAAATCACTGAGGCAGAAAGGTGAAAATGTCTTTTGTTTCTTCTCATTTACGTTTGGCAAGTCTTAAAAATGGGTGCCTATTTTTGAGCGCTTGAATCTGGGTGCCTATTTTTGAGCCTGACTGTTACTTCCAAACTTTTTTTCTTCCTTTTTTTAAGCACATGAAGCTTTTTAACCAAATAAAATATCTTACCTCTTCAGTTTCTTGGGTTTATTTATATAATTAACCGAAATATTTAAAAAAATGCAATTAACTTTATTACCACTTTATATGAAAATTACTTCTGTTATATATTCAGCTAAATTAATTTAATATTACTATTAATTTACATATACTTATTTTATTTATAAACATTCATAATTTTTTGAAGTATCTATTTAAGGAAATCTGACTTAGCTATTAACAACAGACTAGGTTTCAATTACTTAATATTTCTCTAATTTATTTACGTCTGTATTTTTAAAGCATGAGGAAAATAAAATTTAATTTCGATATAAGCGTTAGGACAGGTTTATATCATTCCATACGTATTTAATTTAATTATAGACATTTGGTATTGATCAACTAAATTTGGTATTGGTTTCAATATTTGCAAAAGTTTACATAACATAGTACGTCACTTATTCATAAACAGTTATAGTTTTTTATCTTTGCAATTGAAAAATAATTATTAAAACAACTATGCCTGATTTTTTCATTAACGATGGAACATTAAGTTTATGAGATATAATAAACTTATAAATCTTTGAATTTTTATAAAATATCGCAGTAATAAGACAAATACTCTAAAATGGCATTGTTGTTGTCTCATAATATAGTATTGTTTAAAGGTAAGTGGATACATATATTACCCCCTCAAATAAAAAAAATGGATATAATTGTACTTATAAATGTCTATGAAAAATAGTTTTGTAGAATAAATAGCAATAATCTATTGGGCGTCTTGTCCTATATGCTTAAAAGTTATGGTATGAACATCAAGATTATCTTTCAGATTGTGGCCATTAGGGAATATCGTTGGTTGAAAAGTTGATTCGATATTATCGTCTTTGTTGGTCGCTGCACTTTCTTTTAATTTTTTCGATGACAGGAAGACTTTTTCTAGAGCCATAAAAGGAGCCTCGTACAACAAACTCAAAACACAAGCTGTAAGAAAACTTAAAACAACTGTGCCGCAGTATTGATGAACCTAGAACAAGAAATTGAATAAGAATTCCACATATTTATTGTAAAAATAAATTGGTTGGCTACTAATTTCCTGCCGCTTTTTTTAACATGTCATTAACATTTAGATCACTCGAAATAGGATGTTTTCTGTCCCATTGCATTCTGTTTTGTATTTTTGTTGTTGCGCGAGTTAATTAATGTTAGTTTTCAGATAATTAAAATGAAAGGTTAAGTTGAGGAAAAAATGAGCTTTTTCGTAACCTTCTCTTTGTTTTTAATTAAAGTTTTAAAGCCGCTAATAATGCTCGTGACATTTGTGCTGTGTGTGGGGAAAATGTGCCATAACTGAAAAAAAAAAGCCATTTGTGATTGGTACGTTAAGTTTAAAAATGGAAATTTTGGCCTAATTGAGGCACCTTGTCCTGGTCGTCCTATTGAGTTCGATGACGAGTAATTAAACTAGCTTTTGCACGAAACTTCGTGTTAAACACAAAGAAACAGAAATAGAACGCTACCACACTTTAAATTTTTGAAAGTATTAAAAAAAATTACGGTGGGAGCCTAGTTGCCAGCTTAATAAATAAATCTGATGACAGCACGAAAACCACTGCCACATTTTAGTTTCGTATTGGGCTGATCGGAAAGTAATTTCGTTTTTTTATGAAAATGAAAGGTGATATACTTTATGGTGAACAAATATTTTATTGAATCAGATATTGTCCATTCTGTCCAATACCTTTTATCATCTTTTTGGCATTAGCTTGATTTCGCGCGCTTTGCTGGCGAAAAAACTGATCCAGGTGATTTTTGATATCCTTACTTGAAGTATCTTTATTTGACCATTAAGAAAAAATTGTAGAGAGCAGAACATTGTTGTCGAAAACCAATTTGCTGTCTTAAATGATGATTTTTTTTATTAATTATTGATGATTTTTTTGATTAATGATTTTTTGATGATGAATTGTTTTCTTTCCCTTTTACTATCTATTTTCTACTTACTTACTACTTTTGTATAGAAGTTATAAGTCTATAATAGTATAAGTAAAGAAATAAGTCGCCCCTAAGGAAATTTTGAACACCGAGACAAAAAGAAAAAAAAACCGGAAGTGGTATATGTATTTGTATATTAAGTATAAGAACATTTGTATATTATGTATTCTATATTCTAATCATAATAATGCGTGAGAAATCGAATTCTTTTAAAAAAAGCATTCCTACCAGTATTGGATGTAATGCTGCAATAGGATTTCTAATGGTACCATAATATGTATAATGCACAAATGGATGTACTAAGTATGTCATGTACGTCAATCGACTCAGAGGGACAAATCCATTCCAGCTTAGAATGGTTGTTGCAACTCCTGAAATAGAAAAAAAAGTTGTATAAACTGAAAAAGAAAGTGGTTTAAAATCACACATTTCATGATGTATTTTTAGTCCAGCTTATAATACTTTTACTAGAGATTCCTATTTTAACAAACAGTAAAGATTTAAACCAATCGAAGCACTGTCCTGTTTCGTTTCGATAAGTTTAGTTCGAGAGTTAAGACTTGGTCCTGTGCTACCCTCCTCTCTTGATTTGTGTCTTCGCTGGGCCAACGAAGGGAAGGAGATAACCAGAGGAAGAAGATAACCAAGACAAAATTTATTGTGGACCTCTTTCATAGGCACAAAAAACCTTATTTTCATGTTTTGAAGAATTCTAGAAGATCCTTTATACGAAATCGTGGTTTTTATATAGATACTATAATGAAATTCTCTGCAATTATCTTTCAAAAAAAGAAAAAAAAACTAATTAATAAGCACTATATTTTTGTAAGAAATTTCGGTTGAGTCCTAAGCAGTTTCTTGCCCTAGGACAATCATCATTCTATCCCCTCTTAGAGTATGGCCTTGACTTCATCACAAGTAAATTATAGGCCTAACTTTCTTAAATTATCAAATAAAGTAGAACTGTTTGCTGTCTTTTCTCTGAAATCCTAGTATTTCTAAATCTCCCATAGCGTTAACAAATGTACCTGGTTTTGCCCCACTAATGGGGCACAGTTACAATAAAGTTACAATAAAGTAATAACATATGACTTAATTTAATAATATGATCTTTAAAAGATCGAGATACCTGGGTTTGGGGTACGATAAAAAAATTATAAAAATGGTAAAATGTTTGAACTGAGAGTAGTGATTAGTTTAAGATTTTAGCCATCACTTTTACGCCAAGAAATTGGATTTTGCCTCTTTATTTTGACATAAGGAGTCATTAAAGTATCCAGTCATTAAATATAATTTCTTTTATGTGATAGGTGCAGCTGATCTTCCTATAAGCTTTTCACCTTCGTAATTGATTGAAAAATAATTGATTCTGCAAATTGTTTGCCTAATGGTGTTCTTTCCCCCCACTGTAAATGTTTTTTTTTCTGCACTATCCATCACCGCAAGCAGACTGCACTATCCATCCACAGCAGACGATTGACCTTCGGAGAGTTCATTCCAACATGGGGATATCGTCGTGCTAAAGAATCGTCATTGCTGCAAAACTTTACCCATACCTACCACCGTTTCTTTTATCATCTGGTTTCAGAAGTTTCGAAACAGCTCTTATTTTAACTAATGAACTCGTACCATGGTTTAGAATACAATCGTCTTTTTATGATGGACGGATAGTAACGTGTTTAGTATAAAGAACAGTAAATAATTAACTTAAAACAATTGATATTTTTACCTCCATGGCCAGTCATACATGCTATGGTAACATACGCTAATCCTAGAGTAAAAGCTAAATTCTTCAGACTTAAATATAGTACAGAAGTAACCAAGCTAGGTACATTGCCTTGATGCCAGTTATAAACTCCAATAGTGACACTGAATCCCAGTGCGAATGCAACTATCCAGCCCAACAAATTGAGAGCCTACAGAACAAAATACAAATTAGGTAAAACTATCATTAATATGTCCTCTGTCCTCACTGCTCCTAGAAGTACTTCACAGTGGTAATGAAAAAGAAACTAAGTTCGATAAATTAAGACGACAACTATAAGTTGTTCTGAAAAGAAAATATATGTGTTTAAAATCTTCAGCCAACCAAACAATGGCAACAGCTTGCCATTGTTTGGTATACTATACTTCATTATACTATATAAAATGAATTTACCGTACAAGTGAAGTTTACCATATAAAGTGAATTACTACCATTATTTAATTTTTCTAAGACCAGTGGGAACACTGGTATTATTAATAAATGTAAATGTGATAGCGAAGATTAAGATGTGAGAGCTACTTATTAATGCAGTTAGTGGAATATCATTCAATTTATTAACATAAAACTCAACTAAAACTTACAAATTATTTTACCGCGGAGGATCAGAAGATAAATTACATTAAGATAACTAAAACAATGATTCTTACCAGTGGAATTCGGATTTTCTTCTTTTTCGCAAGTATGTGACCAACGGTTAAGCCTACACTGTAAGAACATACATGCAAATATGTTCGGTAGTAGCCACGATCAATGAAGTAATTCACATCACTACAAATATAAAAATTAGAATTCATTATGAAAAAGTAATTTTAACTCAAAATCAGTAATAATAATTGGAAATCGAGATGTAGGTAAATACATTTGAATTGAAAGTCTCAAGTAACTCCTTTAGCTGCATTTAGTTTCATTTGAATAATACTTAATAAAACTAAAAAAAATGCCTTTATTTGTTCTTTTAAATTATCGCTTTTAATCAGTGATAACTAATAGGAGAAACAAAAGTAATGACTTACTCTTTATGCATAAAAACATAGATGGCTACTGGGTTCAATTTATAAAAGATAGTGAATGCAGCTGAGATAACTATTCCGGCCAAACACAATCCAGCATTGATCGTCATCGCTAAGCGGGGATTCCTGAAATAATGCATCAGTAACTGTATCATTTTTAGTACCAGTATTTCAAAGCTTTCAACGTTTAGACATTTCATAGAGAATTTTTGTTTAGTGATAAAAAAAAGAACTATTCTGGCGTAAGAAAGAAATGTAGCATCTCCAAGCCAGTGCCTTTTTGCTAAGGGAAGCAAAGTTAAATTGAAATTTGTAAGCAATATTTATATCTTTTTTGAAAACATTAAAACAACTAAATACATATTAGTTTAAATTACAAAGTAGTTGCAGTAGTAGTTATAAAATATATTCTAATAATAATGTAAAATGTACAACAGTTCGTAGAAGCTGGTAGCTATGCAAGTTACAGATAAATTACTCTTAAATTATATTAAAAAAAATTCTTTTAATGCCTCAGCGAAAAAAAATAGGTAATGCACAGATGCTAATTTTTTTAGATTTTCTCAAAGTTAAAGGGAAGATAAAGTGATAGCCGAACTTATATCTCTTTCATTCATTATTTGATTTATACAAACAGTTTTAGAACGATTTCTCCATTAATGAATATAAATTAATTAATGCATAAAAATCATATGCTAATGTGTTAAAGCTCTGGCAAAGTATAAAAATGTTTCTGTCTGAAATTGTTATTCATTCTCATTTCCCTATCACTGGAAAAAAATTTTTTCAGAGGGAAAAAGTTGGCACATATGTATATATTCCTCGATAAAAGGATAAAATGTCCGTGATATCCGAAGGAAATCAAAGGATTAAATATAACGTGATATCAGAAGGATATCAAAGGATAAAAATGTAGTTAGTTTTTATTATTTTTCTTAACTTATGAGATATTAAAAATGAACGACTAATTTCAATTAAAAGATGAAGCCTTGTAAATAAGGTTAGGTGCTTGACCATGATTGGGTAATGATGATGTAACAATTTTTTTTATTTTATTTTTTTATTTTATAGTTTTCATTAATTTGCCGTTATTACTATGAAAGAAGCAAAATGACGAGTGGTAGAACAGATTTAAGTGAATTACATATTCAGAAGAAATTTGAAAAGCACATTAAGAGATTCATCTCCCAACTAAAATTCAAATTTTAATGTATAACTAGTTTTACCAGATCTACTTGTGCTGCGTACCTTTATTGGATGCTGCGCAATTGGAGATTTTAAACCACTAAAAAATTCGTCTTAATAATTTTCTTTAATTTTCTCTAAAGGTTTTGATCTTTTTTTTATCTTGTCCATGGACAATTAAATGGCCTCGTGTGCCTTCAAAACTGCATCCGCTAGCTCCAATACATCATTACTGTAGAGGATCTCACGAAGTTCTGAAGCCAGTGACACCATACTCAGTTGTAAAACATATGGAGTAGGGGCTGGACACTCGAGAATGTGATCCGGGGTAAGTTGGATATCGGCGCAGTTCTTGCAGGGAAAATAAGTTCTTATTTTGACTGGGAGAATTTTCATCCCTTAAAAGTGGTTTGTTCTTAGTCTTGTAATTGTTGATGTTAAGATTTTGGAACAATCAAAGTCAGTAATGAGGGGTTTCCTGAAGGAATGGGGCAGAAGTCTGTGTTTTGCAACTGCATTTGCGTCTGCAAGCGTGATGGTGGTGCAAGGTTGGTCGGCACCTCTGCTTTCCTTAGCCAAGGAGTCCGCACACTCGTTTCCCTCAATATTCACGTGCGCTGGTATTCATTGCAGCAAGCAGGATTTCCCATTGCCGTGCAATCCTTCAAGTAGGACATTTATAGCAGAAGTGACGTTGGTTTCACAGTTGTTGATTAAGGGTTTTGATATATTATGTATTTAAAAGAGCAGACTAAGGTTTCGTAGTAGAAAAAAATATTGCGAATTCAATATGAAATTAAAGTATGCCGCTACATACCTCTGGAGAGGAATGAGAACTAATAGACTGAGCAAATACAATTGAGTATCCACTGGTATATACCATGACCAATCCAGGCACTGAAAGTAAATAGAATTTCATTAAAACCACAATAGCTATGCTTTTTTCTTGTTTTTTTTCCTAGGTAATAGTTAAATAAAAATTAAGTTTGTTTCATTAAAATGAAATTTATTTAATGTCACTAGAGCTTGTAGCAGTTACTGTATGATTAGCAAAAAGAGTGAAAATTGGCAACTATGATAACTGAACAAAAAGTCTACATCTGTTTACCGAAAATCTCTAAAATAATCAATTAAAGAAAGCGAAAGGATATGGAAACGCACAGTTTATTGCTTTTAGCTTTAGGAACCAGATAAGTTTTTTGAGCTTAAATTCAAACATTTGGCGCTGATGATTAGAAAATGTTTTCTGCAAAGCGTGGGACACCTATAACTGAAATATTTGTATTAGCGTTTGTTAAATTTAACTTCCGACTCCACAATTTTGATCCTCTGCAGAGGGGATAGCTCCCAGCTTCGGTAGCCCGACGACCTGCACGCGAAGTCGAGCACTTTACGATAGAACAGTTTACCAATGACCAATACCGCACACCCTCGATCCCTACGCAGACTAATTCAAGAGCTCACCCACCCGCACACTGACAGCAGTCAGTGATGCTTGACTACGGCGATCTGAAGGGAACCGTGTCTTAACAATCAGTCCACTGCGGGACAAAAATGGAAGGCAAGATTTCATAAAAAAATGGAGCAAACTTGTCGCTTTAGCTACAACCTCAATTTTAAAAAATATGAACCATTGTAGTACTGATTACATTTATACCGATTCATCTATGCTTGTGGTACTCACGAATGCATAATTTCTTTGAAAAACAGAGTGCAAACGAAGTGGTTTTGCTACCACTTTTTAAATTTTGCAGGAATCTCAGAATTTTCAAAAACGAAAATTTTACATGATCCGCTTGCAATATGTAAAAAAATAATCGAGTAAAATTTGCAATTTTTTTAAAACAAGCAGCATTTTTACTAGAAAAAAATTTACTGAATGATGCAAGTAGGTGTTCAATTTATTTAATCCTTTTAAAATACAATACTACATACTCTTAAATAGTTAAAACCTTACCATATTCTCTGTAGGAACGAAATTACTGAAGTACAAAAGATTAGTCCACCAGTTTCTTCTACATTTTTCAACAATTTTGTCTGTAATTGTTTCTTTCCATACGGGACCCGAGCTGATATGAGGTAAAAGAATACTCGTAGCGATGACAAGCATATAAGGCGGTGTTAATCTGAGGGAAAGAAAAAGAAATATTAATAAATAGTGTGACAAATTGATGTAGGAAAGTTTTCTTGAATAGTATGGGTAACAAATACTATACTCCGTTGCAAGTTAAGGAAATACCATAGATGTACAGGATTTGAGTAATCATCCGCGACTGTATATAGTTCCGTATTATTTAATTATCAAATTATACAAATATGATTTAATTTATGCCATTTTTTATGATATATATTGCGGAATTATTAAAAAAAATGTAGGTTATAGTTTCGAAGTGTTTCTGGAATTATAGACAAGGCGACATATTTCCATAAATATGAGGAACATTCGTTTTTGAAAAAAAAGAAGAAGAAAACAACTATATGATATTGCCAGAGCATTGGATTTGATTAAATCACTAAAAATGTCGTGTCGTATGCTGACATGTCCCAAACAAATCAAAGGCAATATAAGGAATTTTTACGTTTGTTTCACTGTAGAAGAAATTAACCAGCAAGAAACAATATTATTCATTCAGCAGGTTTTTTTTTTAACAGCGAAGAGTAAGACGTATATTTGTTACGATTTTTAGGAATCATTTTTATTAATTCTTATTACTTGTTAATGGATGACTCAATAAGTTTTGTTTTTCTCATTTCCCACGATTTAATAAAGCAAGAAAATAGAAGGCCGTGCAACGTCGTTTCAAAAGTTGGCGATGTTGATACATGTTTGCGTTGAGAGCTTGGCATCCATTTGGCGTACACTTAAATGCAAACAAGCTCACTCTTTAGGGATAATGGTTTTTTCGTAACTTGTAACAATTAATAGGGTAATCCATTAGGATCACCCTCTTATACACTCCATTATTAGTTTTTTTTTTGTACTTTGAATCCTTAAAGTCAAAAAAATTATATGAGGGTCAAAAATTAATAAAGGGTAAATTTTTTTTCTTCTAAATGTAACGAAGCACTACTTAAGAACAGGAGAGGAAAAACATCAAAACCTGCTTAATTGCCGGAGAAAAACGAGAATAGTTGTCAGGTGAGAGAAGAAAGGCATCTAAATTTCAGCCGTCAATCAAACGCTTCTTTATTTTTATTCGTACTGCTTTCTACAATAAGGCTTCGTTACTATTTTGTTTTCCTCGCTGAAACATTAATTTGCGAATCCTATTGTGTGTACGTTATTAATTTTATGCTTGATTCAGAATCTAAAAATATGCATTAGAGACGAGATTATGGAATATACACCGAAGAGTCATTACATTATGACCACCCTCCATCTATAACAATGGGCTCACCCAGGTTTTCATGGTTTTTCGCCCAGGAACAATGTTTTCATGGGGCACATTAGAACCCATAATCCTCATAGAACAATCCCTGACGTCTGTAAGCTACTTGAACATAGTTGCAGACTAGGATCACCCATTCATGGCAACAGTTTTTCCTGCGGGGGATGGTGTTTACCAACAGGATAATACACCATGTCGTAAGGGTCGAATCGTCATGAATGGGTTCGAGGAACATTCCAGTGACTTTCAAGTCATGTCTTGGCCTCTTAATTCACCTGACCTTAATCCAATAGAGAATTTGTGGTCCTACCTGGAAAACCAAATTCGTGCTGCCACACTACCCCCTCGCAATGTGAAGGAATTGCAGGACCAGTTGGTGAGCGCTTATTACCAGATACCTCAGACTACCTATCAGCACCTTGTGGAATCAATGCCACTGCGGGTGCTAGCAGCTTTGTGGGCTAAAGGTGGTACTACATGATATTAGCAGGTTGGTCATAATGTAAACGCTTTTCGGTGTAATGCACACTCAGAGTGTCTACTGCTCCCGAGTTCGAATTTATGTGATATTTTATTTGAAATTTCTCGGATTTTCGAAAAACTTGGGAGTAGATTTAAAAGTTTTTCATGAGCCCTATAATGTGATAATTTTAAGATTTTTAAATGTGATATTTTTTTTTTCATTTTTAAAAGTTTTTCAAATTAAATTCATTTATGATTATAATTAAACATAATAAATTCAAGTAATTATCTTTTGATATGAAATTATGCTCTAGCAAAATTTAAAAAAAAACCATGGTGTTAGTCTTGTAAGAAATTATTGACTTAGCTTCAGTGCTAATACTTTGTCACTTTTTTCAAAAAGCTGCTTTCTGCCCAAACCCAATAAGTTAACACGTTCATTGCTACCCGAGTTTTGGTTGTAATATCCTCTCCCGACTATATCTATCATTGAAGAGTGGTCATCTATAAATATAAAATCAAAGTAAAATTTTCTTACTTTAAAAATTACTCGTATTTTAGTTTCAAAATTTTACAACTTTTTTTTAATAAGCGATACGTCATTGTTATAGGAAAATATCAGATTTTTTGCAAAATTAGTTGAATTTTAATCTTGCTACAGTTTCATCTGTTTTATAGACACTAGCTGCACGAAAAAATTTAAACACGAGATATCGTGATCCAGTAGCAAACGCGCAAAAAAGTGTGTGAATTTTTCGATAATAAACTCAAAATCAAAATGATAATAGAAATTTCGCACTTTCACGTAGAATTCTGCGCTAACTTGGTTTAAAACCAACTCTGCTTTTCGTAATAACTGCGAGAATGAATTCAGCGATAAATAATGCAGCTTACTTTTATTAATATTGTTATTAATATTTGAAAAATATTATTAAACTTTTATTGATTATTTAATTTCCTTCAACGAAATTGTATAGTTTTAATAAATATAATTTATGATTTTAAAATAGCGAAAATATATCTAGTTTTTTTATGGAACTAGAACTTTCTTATAGAACTTATGGAACAGAAACCAATAATTTTTTTATTTATTAAATGAACCGATCTTGTAAGATAACACGGTTCATTTCATTTCTTCATATTCGTATTCTACGTCCACGTTTTTAGTTCGAAGGTAAGCTTTAACAGAAAACAACATTCAATAACTATAAACAGTTAGATTGTAGCTTTGTCTTTGTAGTGTAAATCATGACAACAATAACTTAAAGATACGTAGCAGCTAAAATAAACGCGAGCATGCTTCAATCTTACGTACGGGAGCGTACGAAAGCTAATGTAAAAGTGCGAAATCATTTCTAAATTTCATCAATACATTTCTTCAAATTTGCATTCCATGTCCATGTTTTTAGTTCGAAGGTAGGCTTAAGCAGAAAAGAACATTTAACAATTATAAGCAGCGGGCTTGTAGCTTTGTCTTTTCAGTGTGAATTATGCCAACAATAACTTAAAGACACGTAGCATCTAAAATAAACGCGAGCATTCTTCAATCTTACGTACGGGAGCGCACGAAAGTTAATGAAAAAGTGCGAAATCATTTCTAAATTTCATCAATACATTTCTTCAAATTCGCATTCCATGTCCATGTTTTTAGTTCGAAGGTAGGCTTAAGCAAAAAAGAACATTTAACAATTATAAGTAGCGGGCTTGTAGTTTTGTCTTTTCAGTGTGAATTATGCCAACAATAACTTAAANGTGTAAATCATGCCAATAATAACGTTAAGATACGTAGCGTCTAAAGTAAACGTGAGCATGTGCAGCTGGTTCAATCTTACGTACGGGAGCGTACGAAAGCTAATGTAAAAGTGCGAAATCATTTCTAAATGTCATCAATACATTTCTTCAAATTCGCATTCCATGTCCATGTTTTTTGTTCGAAGGTAGGCTTAAGCAGAAAACAACATTTAATAACTATAAATAGCTAGCTTGTAGCTTTGTCTTTGCAGTGTAAATCATGCCAATAATAACGTTAAGATACGTAGAATCTAAAATAAACGTGAGCATGCGCAGCTGCTTCAATCTTACGTACGGGAGCGTACGGAAGCTGACGTAAAAGTGCGAAATCTCCTTAATAAAAAATATTTTTGTCCATTTTATAATCTACTGTAAGGGCTTTGCTTTGGATGTATTCTTACTTTGTATCAAGTCAGCTCGTCTCTAAATATTTGTCAAATTGAACGGTTATAGTTTTTTGTTGTTGTTTAATTGAGCAAGTGTTTTTGGTTTAACCCTTTTATATATCTAAATATTTAGCCACACTATTTTATAAATGTTTGTTATATAGAAATATTGTATTATGTATTTTGAATGATTTATTGATTACTTTCGTTTAAATAGTTTTTTAAAAGGCCGGACAGCAAAAAGGGGTAAATTTCTCTCAAATCAATAATATTATCATTTCCCGTTCTTGGTTCGTAGCATGAACCGTAACATTAAACTGTAATAAGTAATTGGCAAGGGAAATACCTATTGGGGATCCATTTTAGGGGATTTTATTATTAGTGTAGAGATTTATAAGGTGTAAAACTATGTACCTCCAAAACCTTCTAAAGATGTAGAGGAATACATTTAACTTCCCATTCATTTTAGTGACACCATACGAAACTAAGACAGCACTGAAACAAGAAGAAAAAAAACTAATTATTATAATGTTGGGCTATTAAAATAAATTATATACAAAAGTCGTTTTCGCAGAGAAAAGTTAAGTCCCATAAAAAATAAAGTTAGAGTAAAGCATGTATTTTACTACAGTAATTGGTGATTTCTTAAACCATGGTGAATATTATAAATCACTTCTACTTTGAAATAAAACATTGTGAATTAAAATTATACTAAAGCAAGACTGTTTTATTAGTCATTTTCTCATTTTTGCTACGATTTATGACTGATTTTTATCATTCATTTACTATGCTGATTACTGTTTATTATAACGGACTTAGATCAGTTAGTTACTATCAGGCACATCAACTTTTTCCTTATTAACGGAAAATTTTACGAGAATATTTGGATTAACAGTCAATTTTGCACTTTACCATTTCATTTCTGATGTAATAAATTTAATTTATTACAGTTTTGACCGTTACTATGTATCAATTTAAATACATATATTTGAGTAGTTAAGCTTTCTATTTGTTTCTATTTAAGTCTTGCAATTTGTGTAGTTAAGTTTTCAAGATTAAGCAAATTAAGTTCACCTTAATTGGATACCTGCAAGTGACGTCATCGTAGCTAAATCATGACATTTGTTTTCTTGATACAAAAGCCAATCAGGTTTGACATACACGCGTGACTTCGCTTACAGGTATCCAATTAAATCCAGTGACGTCATCGTAGGTTAAGCATGCCATTTGTTTTCTTGATACAAAAGCCAATCAGGTTTGAGATACAGCGTGACTTCGCTTACAGGTATCCAATTAAATCTGATTTTAATCACGGAGTTAGCATTATCACTTCACTTCTCGAGTCGCAAGTACTCAATTGTTGCATCTCTACCACTCAAAATATCATGGGAATCCAAGATTTTCGGATTGGTTCCTTTGTACAATGAACCCTGATTTTTTTCTTCGCTACTTTTTATCACCGATTTCTGACAGAAGTATAAAATAGTTTATACTGATGTTAAATACAACATTTCTAGTGCCCAAAACCCGTTCTAAAAATCAAAAGTATTTTTAATTTACCTGATAAAGAAAAATGTTTCAACGGACATAACACCATTGCTTATCAATTGGAATAAAATTTCCTTTGATTTTTCTCTGACTTCCAGAAGATGACCTGCAAAAATGCAAAAGTTTTAATTTTTAAATCAGAATATTTACTAAGATGGCTTTTAAAATAAAAGCTCGTAATCCGTAATAACTTTTTAACTAATATTCGGATTTTCACGTGCTAAGATGCATTCTTCAAAGTTAAGAGTCCTTCCTTTCTGTAATCAGAGTAATCAAATCATCGTTTTGGTGTAAACATTGGTATTCATTGCATTATTTTTTTTAAAAATAAAGCTTTTATTAATTTTGATTTGTTATTTTAAACAGATATCATTCGTATGAGATGGTATTAAATTTAGCTCAAATTTGTAAAATGTTTAAACAAAATTGAAGTTATTTTTTATATATATTTTTTAAATGAAAATTTTTTTCAATTATAAATTGTTTGAATTAATAAATTTCTCAAAAAATTTTTCTTAAAAATTTGGCAAAAGTACTAAAGCTGAGTTTTAAACTCAGAAAGCATGGCTAAACATGGCAATATCAGGCACAATTAAAATATATATATTTAACATAACTTTAACATAAATTTTTTTGAGCCGTGGTGGTTCAAGGAATAGAGCGTTCGCCTTCCAATGATTATAACATACATTTTTTGCGGAGACTATCAATAGATAATAAACATGTAGGATGATATTTTATGCATTATCAAGATCATATCATATTATTCAAAAATAAAAAAAAACTTACTATAGGGTAGTCATAAATTGAATGAAATAATTAAATAAACACTTTTTTTTTATCCTTATCGGATTTAACATCAAAATGTAACTCACTCATTGCTTGGAAATTTTGGTAATAGTAATTGTGAGCTAGAATAACCCAAAGTATTGTAATTGCTTTAAATCCATGAATGATTTTGATAGTATCTGGGTTATCTTCAATTTTCATCAATTTCTTGAAGTTGGTATACAATGAGAAAGCTAATAAGCATTTCAAAGGCACACCTAGGATGATAGAAAAGAAAGTATTATTATTAGCAACATACAGTAGAATCACATATATTCGCGTCATCAGGCAGTGAGCATACGTAGATAATACAGGGAATATGTTTTCACTAAGCTGATACGCAATCAGTTTCTCTCTACAAGCTACAGTGCTTATGTAATCTTATAACATAATCTGAACCAGGAGTGTTTACAATTCACTGTTACTAGTCGTCCCCACATTTCTAGTGCGTAGGGTGTGGTAGTGATGATAAAATTTTTCAGTGTATGATGCGATAAGTCATATGTCTTTAGTCTTAAGTTTTATTTCAAAGGAGCAGGCTTTGCTGACTCAGGGGATAAGAGTGCTCGCCTCCCAATAAGGTGACCCAGGTTCGATTCCCAGCGATGGCTGGTTGATATGAATTCCACACCCGGATCTCACTGACTACAGTGATGACGATAGATATCTTCAGTGGAAGATAGATCATGGGTTAGAGTTCCCTTGCCGTCGAGCTAACCATGTGAGGTTTGCGTGATTTTCTTCTCCATGTAACGCTAATGCATGTTAGCTTCATCAAAAAGTCCTCTACAAAGCAAATTTATCCCAATACTTGATCCAGGAGTTCCTTTGCTTTCTGAATTTGGCTCAAATGTACAAAGCTACGGAGTTGAGCATTAGTAGTCGTAAATTCAAATTTAGGTCGGCTGTTCAACGACGGTTATTAAAAAAAGGAACCGACAAGTGTATACATATGTATACAACCCTACAATTTTCTTAAAAACTTAAATATTCAGACAAAAAAATAAAACATGGTTCCAAATGCCATTTAAAAAATTCTGTAGATTTTTGAACAATGCTAATTTCATATTTGAAATCTCCGAACCTGAATTAGGTTAGGTCAAGTACTTGTATAATGCATATGATAAAAGAATTTCAAATGTAAGAACTCCTCAATATGATAAGGTTTGTGCTATTAAATACTATGTCAATTAAAAAAAAAATGTTAAAAATTTTGGTTTTATTATTCAGATGTAGAGTCAGGTATGTATGTAGATAAAAAATCAATACCATTCTTACACATTAAAGAATTATAAAAACAAAAAAATATATTTTGTTAATAAATAGCAAATGAAATTAACTGCCATAAATTTTCTAAAACTAAGCTTTCAGAGGATGGCATCATAAGTTCAGGTGATTATTTCAAATGTGAATATGTGCTTCATTTTTCTGAATTATCTGAAAAATTAATTGAAGGATGTGTACAACCAAATAACCGGGAAATAATTTCTTAATATAAGAAACTTAATGAATCTTTTATAGAAAAACATTCTTCATGATGAAAAATGTAGATATCAAACATTATCTGTTTTATTGAGAGACATTTAAATAAAGTAATTTGACATGAAATATCAAGATTTCAAAAACCAAATTTTAGATTTATCGAAAAATATCAAGACCACTTCCACATGGTTGTCGTTGCTAGATATCAAAAATTAACAAAACCAATGATTAAAAAATTCCAAGACAAAGACCCATAACTATTCGAAGTAAGAAAAATCAATTATATTTTTTGATATGAAGCAAAAAGAAATTAGTCAAATTATATGAGAAACAGACGGTCAATTAACGAAAGGTGAATTTAATAAAATGTATATAAATTGCATAACCTTCTAATTTCTTTTGAATATTAGTATATTAATATAGTATAGTATAAGTATTAGTATTATAGTANAGAAACAGACGGTCAATTAACGAAAGGTGAATTTAATAAAATGTATATAAATTGCATAACCTTCTAATTTCTTTTGAATATTAGTATATTAATATAGTATAGTATTAGTATAAGCATTAGTATTATAGTATTAGTATATTTTGAATTTTTTATTTATTATATTTTTTTAATAATTACATTGGGGAAAATCTTTTTTTGTTTTATGTTGTATGAAATTTTTGTAAAAAGATCTTATCAGTGATACGTTCGTATCCCTGATTTCAAACCTGTAATTGGTTTTTCTTTCCAAGCTATAGATTTCTAAAATGTATATAAATTGCATAACCTTCCAATTTCTTTTGAATATTAGTATAGTATTAGTATTATAGTATTAGTATAATAGTATTAGTATATTTTGAATTTTTTATTTATCATTTTTTTCTAATAATTACATTGGGGAAAAATCTTTCTTTGCTTTATGTTGTATGAAAGTTTTGTAAAAGGATCTTATACTTTCTATCTCTGATTCCAAACCTGTAATCTGTTTTTCGTTCCAAGCTACAGATTTCCTAGAGACACATTTAGTCTATTTTTTGTCAAAATGAAATTTCGTCCAAAAAAAAAAAATAAGTAAACACCTTGTATATAACAGGAGGTTGAGTAAATGCGACGACAAATTTCTAAGCGAGTTAAGGTACATCATCTGAATTAAAGTTGCATATCAATCCTTGCCCGAAAATGTCGTACTACGCCGCCATGGGCCCTTCCCCTATTACAAGCAGTTTCGCGTGCATCTGAACAGGAATAATAGGGAAGCTTCCGTAGCTGCATGTGATGACATTTCCGGATATGGGTTCCTATGCAATTTTAAAACTGATGATGTCTCCTATCTTCACTAAAAGTTTGCCGCAGCATTTTTGTGATCCCTTGTTGCACACAACATTTTTAAATTTGTGCATTTCGGCAAAATATCATTTAAGAAATATCTCTTGTTTTAGAAACAAAACAAATTTCAGATCCCACATCCGAATTAGGCAAGATCAATAAATGCAACAAAAAATTTGCCCCCCCCCTGTGTAATCTAAGAAACTATTGTAACAAGAATGCAATCATTCAACTAGTCTAGTGTAAATATTGGTTATGTAAATAGTGAATAAATTATTTCATGCTCTTTTCAAGTTTATTCTTGTTCTTTTTACCCCTAAAAAGGGTAATATTTTTTTTACGAAGAAATTAATAATTAAAAAAAATTGTCAAAGAATCAGTTTTTAATAAAAAAAAAACATCTGCTGGGGAAAGTTAGCGTAGTTGTTTCGGTAACTTTCCCTAACAGGTTTTTAATTTTTTTCTGAAAGAGAAAAAAATGAAAATATATTTATGTTCCATAAATCCATTCTTAAATCTTGCCTTTACAAACATAGAAACTCAAACTATTTCTTCAATTTGAAATTGGGCAAAGTGGCCCCAGTTGATCATGATTAAAATGAAATTGTAAATATATTCCATTACTGTAAAATAAATATACATAAATTGATCTCAATTATTAATATACAGGTTGTTCTAAATTAGACGGACGATTATTAAACATTTGAAACAGAAAAACGGCTAATGTGAAAAAAAATTCTTTCAGTATATTTAAGTGGCAGGGTTGTATATGTTTCTCCCAGAGTTCATATTTTTATTAGTTCAAATTTCTTCAATAGATGGCATTGCAAGTAGCATGCCTGTGAATCACAGAAAAGTAACTGAAAGTATCATTGCAATTCTTCCGAAAAGTCTATTATTTAGGCTTTACGACATTAAATGTCGTAAGTGGAGAATGAAATTCATTTACTGTCGAAAGCAAAATGGAAAATATTAGTAAAAAAGTGGTAACAGCGCTATCTGCAGAAAATTTTTTGAACTAAAATCAGGAACTCGGGGATTTAAACCTTGTCACATAAATTTGATGGAATATTTTTTTGCATTTTTAATCTTAACATTTAACTGTTTCCCTGTTACAAACTTAAGAAAATTGTCAGTCTAATTTAAGACACTTTGTAAAACATATAATACAATTCGTAAATGAATAGCTATTGATGATCTTACTTAAATTCTTTTGAAAATTATTTTCTTGGGATCTTATATTTAAAATGACGTCAATAATAGTTGCCACAACTGCAATAAATACAATTGTTGCCAAAAGCACACTGTAAGAATAAAATCAGCTGTAAATAAAGAGTAAAACATTCCAAAAAATACAATAGAAAAATGAAGCGGTGTGTGATGTTCGACAGTTGACCAAATAAGCTTTTCCCAAATTATCTCTACTTTTTTCTAAAAGGTTTTATATTTAGTGGCAAGATTATTTCTTTATAAAATGGGAAGATCATTAAAGATTGTTATTTGCCATTATTTTTCTGGTAGCTTACAAAAACACAAAACTTAAATACGAGAACTAAAATATTGTGGGAGGTTTCCGTGGTTTTCGTCTCCATGTAACGCAAATGTCAGTTACTTTCATCTAAAAGTCCTCCGCAAAGGCAAATTTCTCCTAATACCTGATTCAGGAGTTTCCGTGTCCTCCGAATTGGGTTTAAAATTAAGAGGCTACAGAGTTGAACATTAATAGACGTAAACTCGACAATTGGGTCGGCTGCTCAACGACGGTTATAAACTAAAATAAGATAGAGAAAAAGGCGGCAGCAATAGCTTTAAAAAAATGGAACATAGTGCTTCAATTTTTTTAAGAACACTAGGAGATTTTTTCTCAAAACGTAAAAGCAATAAAATTATGTGTTTGTTAATTTTTTCATAATTCATAGGTCAATTTGTATAGATCATTTAATAATGTAAAATTATCAGCAATTAAATTTATAATTTTTTTTCTTTCGAAAAACGATTGAAATAAAGTTGAAAAATTCATTAATCTAAAGTAAATAACTTAAAAACGAAAATATTTTTTCAAAAATCTAAAGGCAAGCAAATGTAAAATTACCTCTACATTTTTAAATATCTCTCAAAAAATTCTGATTGCAGGGCTTTATTGATAATACTTTGTCAGAAAAATTGTAATAAAATTAAAAAACGATTCCCCGATTTTGATATAGTGATTTCCTTGCATTTTACATGTTTCGAAAGACACTGCAAAAATTATCATAAATCTGTGAAATTTAAATTAAGATGATTAAAGGTAAATTTAAATTTCTTTCCCCACCGCCTGAGTTCTCAATTTAATAAATTTGATTTTAGAAACATTTAATCGCCACTCCGTATATATATAAAAGATTAAATAATTTTTAAAAAAATAAAATTTTAAGTGCTCATGATTTTAAAATAAAAATAAAAAAGCTACTTTTAAAATTTCGTGCTTTATTTGTTGTTAGTTAGTCGTTGAAAAATATTTTCTCGCGAAAATTTTAAAAGCTGGAAGATATGTGTATTGCTGCAATCTCCGTAAAAGAGCTTAAAATGTGCAAATGAAGAGGTTTACTTACGCAATTCCTGTTTCGGTTTCATCAAGAACTATTTGGTCAATTTTTACTTCACAGTTTGGAACTATAACATCAAATTCAAGTCCCGCCATTTCGATAACTGTAATGAAAAGCATCATTGTCATTATTTTTTCTTAAAAAAAGTAGTAAAAGTATTACTATTATTATAATTATTAAAAAATGTAATAAAAAGAATTACTATGATTGCTTTTTAACAAAACAATGTAGTAAAAAGCATTACCATCATTAATTGCTAATAAAAAAAATTTAGTAAAAAGCACACATACCAACATTTAACCCAGCATTTATGCCCATAAAGGGACATTTTACGTTAGGTTAAGGTTAAGATTAGAAGACATGACAAATAGAAAAAAATAAATAAATAAATAAAAACCAATGCCAAATTAAAAACAACGACATGAAAAATGAAGAAAAAAAAGACTTTTTTATTGGTTAAGGCATTTTAATTAGAAATTATTCAGGGCTAATTGGTCAAGTTTATTAGAGGTTGGGGCTCACCATTACATAATTTTGCAATTTTTTCACGAAAATTATTTCTTACATTATATATTATCACGATATGACTTTTTGAAATTGTCGTTCCAGTTAAAATCAGAAACACATTTCTCGTGGATTTATCTTACATTACATATTATCAAGATATGACATTTTAGAATTGCCGTTCCAGTTAAAATCAGAAACACATTTCTCGTGGAAATATTTATCTTACATTATATATTATCACGACATGACTTTCTGAAATTGCCGTCCCAGTTAAAATCAGAAACACATTTCCCGTGGAAATATTTAACTTACATTATATATTATCAAGATATGACTTTTTAAAATTGCCGTTTCAGTTAAAATCAGAAATTATTCACCACACGCAATAAATTTTTTTTTTCTTGTTTCAAATTCTATTTTCATGGTATAACATTTATCCAGAATAAGGCTTCAAATGTTATATGGACAACAATAAAAAGAAGAGCCCAGCTTCTAAACAAATTACACGAAAAAGATTTCTTCAACCGAAAGTTGTTTTAATTGGTTTAATCAAACGTAAGGAAAGTTATAGATTAAAAAAATGTGAATGAAAAGGAAAGGTCATCCTTTCCTGAAGTAGAAAAGGAAATTTTGAAAATCAGTAATGACTAGAATTATTATAAATCACGAATCAGAAATAAAGCTTACAATCCATTTTATTTGTTGCTATTTTCCTTCATATAAAGCTAATTGGCAATTAAGTAAAATTAAAAAACAAACAAACACTCTTTTGTTAGAAATAATCTTTTCCAATAAGTCATATAAGAATTATTTGCGCAATTACAATTGGCCTATCATCCCGGTCAAACTTATTGAATTTAGTTTAAATAATATTAAGTTAAAGTTGATTAATTAAGATAAAATACAAATGAAATTCATAATCACGAAAAAAAACAAAGATAAAAAGATAAGATAAAATACAAAGGTAAGTGCAACTTATGAATCCTAATATTAAATTTAATCATAGCTAAAGAACTAATGACTTTTATCAGGACTGATCACAATGATTATCATCTATAACATTTAAAATTGGTTGTTCTTACAACAAAAGCCAATTTACTTTTGGATAATTTACAAAAGTGAATTGGAATTGCAGTTTTATCAGGAGTTGCTACAAAATGTCAACCATCACTTAGTCATAGGATTTTGGATTAGATATAATGGAAAGATTTAATGATATGTCTCCTTCTTTGAGAAATCTGATTTAAATTGGATAAGAAAGTGATAAAGTGATATTACATTTTTCTAAGTGATATTACTATTTTACATTTTTATAATATCCCTTAAACAAAAGCTTTAACCATTTAATGCTTTGGAATGAAGCATTTATTCAATTGATAATATTCTTTACTTACCAATGTCAATGCAGAATGTGGTGTTTTTTTCATTCCAATGAATTTTAGCTTGCAATTTTAATAAACTGTTTCAAATTTTGCATGTGATAAGTGGAGTGAAAATAACGCGGATATAATGTTTTACTTTCAATTTTAAATTTTGAAATTTATTTGAAAATTTCAGAGATGCTCACTTTCACGGAATTTCGTTTATTTTGCGGTAAGTTTTATGTGAGGGTTGTATTTCTTTTCTTCCAAATATTATGATACTGCTAGTTTAATTTTTTAGAAAACAACCTATGGAAAAAATATATTTAACCACTTCATTCTTAAACTTTTTAAAAACCTGATTTTAATAACGATAAATGTTAAAATGGCGCAGCAGCGTAATTTGATTGTTGAATTTATCTAGATAAATGCTTATAATAAAAATTATGCTTCAAATATCCTAATAATATATCCATATCTTATAATATGTAATTGAAAAATCTCCAATTAGTGATATTTTAAATCTCTGTTTAGAGATTAATCAAAGATTTTTAACTTAGAAAAACGACAAATCTCATCCATAAATATCCCAACATAAACTAATCAACCAACATAAATTAATAAAATAAACGCACTCAAACGTACGGAATAATTGAAAATTCCTCATTGGATCTTTCGTTGTTGGAAATTACGAGAATTTCGGCATATTGGCATGAGACGCCATAAACCGATTTATCGAATATATCAGTCTTATATTAAAGTATTGCACGCGGATAACTTTTCCAAAAAATGTATTACAGCTGTTATAGATTAAAATTTACAAAAGTGGTTGGCAAGATTTGATAAAAGTTGGAGGAAACTTGTCTCTAAAGCTACAACTTCAATTTTTTAAAAATTACGACAAACGATTGCAGCACTAATTGCATAGATACTGAATCATTTGTGGTAATAACGAATGAATAATTTCTTCGAAAAAACAGAACGAAAACGAAGTAACTTTGCTACCACTTTTTAAACCTTTATATGAATTACAGAAATTTGAAAAGCGTAATTTTACGTGAGGATCTGCGTGAGCTATGTTTTAAAAGTCATAAAATTTAAAATAATTTTATTTTAGCTAAATTCAAATACTAAAATTAAAATCTAATCTAAAATTAAAATCTCAATCTAAAATTAAAAGTGAGAATTAACAATAGAATAATGTACTTAGTATTCTTAAAGATTGGGTAAATAAACAAGAACAATCCTATTTTTTCCCTTATCAAAATAATTTAAGAGTTTACAGATAACAATTTCAATCTAAATTGTTGCAGATTTTGCCAGTAAAAAATTTACCTTTAGTAGCAACAGCTTGAACTTCTTCTTTACTGCACGTGGATGGCATGCATATAGAGGATCTAAATCTGACTAAGTGGTAATTCATTCCTTTTCTCATGAAATCCCATATTGCCTGCAAAAATATTCATAAATTTATTTCACAATACATACTATGAATAACTTTTTGAACACTACTGTTGTATTGCATTTTAAAAACAGAACAGACAAAAATCAAATTTATTTTAATATTTCCCCTTATTATTAAGCAGTCATTTGTTCTCAGGAGTTTCAGATAAAAATAATTAAAATCAAACTGATTTAAAAGTATTCGTAATTTTAAAATGGCAACACATTTCTAATGTTGGGTGTAAAATTCAGCGATTTTAATTTTTAAGTCTGGTTCTGGGTTTGAAACCCGGACAAGGCATGGATGTTCTTTCATACACTTTACAATTTGTTCTTACTGTGGGAGTAACGTTAGCCCACCTAATATGGTGCTGCTGAAAGAGTGACCAACAAATCTGCTCTTCAGATGCCTGTATTGACGGAATGTCTTTCCCGTGTGGGCATTGGAAAAAAAGAAATTTAAGTCTGATTTCAAAGCAATTTTAACAATGTGCAGAAGAAAAGATATGAGTTAATTAACTTATTAATTTTCATTCAGCAAGAATTTTAACAAATACAATTTAATGGTTTGTGAAAATATAGTCAAAAGCCCCTCTTTTTCCAAATGTGTCATTTATGCTTCAAACTAATTCTTAGAATTGAATCTAGATTATTACGTTAGAAGTTTCCCGAATTTTCACTTCTCAGTTCTCCTGACAGATGCAGAAATGCCTTATTGTCAAAAGAAAAAAAATCTTGGAGTTTTTCAGAAAACAATCTCATTAATCATTTGAAAGTATGAAATTACAATTTTTTGACGAATTGCACTGCATTGAACAAAAGCTGTTCTGATTTTTAGATTTTTTTCCCATTCATAATGGAAAGAAAGTTTTGTGTGAGTAAGTCAAATAAAGTATTAGATACCAGATATTGTGCACAACTTAAGACCTAATAGAAATTTTATATTATATTAATTTAAGTGCACGTTATCTATGATCCAATTTTTAAAAAAGAAGAAAAACGTTAAATAGTTCTGATTAAAAAGTTGTAATTATAATAAATATTTGCATTATCAATTTATTAGATATCGGAAACAATTCAACTAATCTAAATCAAATTTGATTTTATTAGTTTTAAAATAACTAGAAAAACCACCCCACATATAGCATAATGGTTACACACAATTCAAAGAATAATTGGAGTAATCGTTTGTATGCTATCCCATGTAATATGTCAGCAAGTGTGTTTATCATGTTCAGTGCTGCTTGTACTTATTTGGTATCAATATATTATTATGATAAAACGTGTATTATTTTTTTTATACAACGAAAGGAATTTATAGATAGTTTATTTCATTCTCCATATTTATTTCATTCTTAATTTATCTTGCATTTATTCTCGCATTATTTTATTCCTCGTTTATCTTGAAAAAAAGAGAGATATTTTATCTACAACAATATCAAAAGAATAGTATAGGCATTTTGATCTGAAAAGCATGATATTGAGATTGATTTAATAATTAGTTATAGTCACCATACATTTAGAGGGAGCATAACTGTCTTAACACAGAATAATACATAAAAGGTACATAAAATACACTTTAAAATTTTTTTATACACAAAAAGGCATTTTCTGAAGCACTAAAAAACGCAGGTAATTTACTGATATAGAATGGGTAAACGTGTGCATTGCTACAAATGGCAGATTCTGTATAATAGTGAGAACAATCCTTATCAGGCGAATTGTGATTGCCAAAGTCTGATTTAGGATCATCATAACTCGTGAAGGTAGAGGTGGTTGTACAAAAATGGTGCATTCGGAACAATAGTGAGATTCTGTATAATAGATATTCTGTAAAACAGATTCTGTATAATGGTAAGAACAAAGCTTATCAAACGAACTATGATTGACGAACTCTGGTAGAGGATCATCATAACTTGTAAAAAGAACTGTTGGAGGTAACGGTGGTTGCACAAAAAAGTGGATTTGGTATAAGATTCTGTAAAACAGATTCTGTATAATGGAAGAACAAAACTCATCAGGCGAACTATGATTGACGAACTCATGGCACTCAAGTTACATGGTTTAGGATCATCATAAGTCACAAAAGGAACTCTTGCAGGTAGCGGTGTGGGTGCATTCGGTATAATAGTGAGATTCTGTATAATAATGAGATTCTGTATAATAATGAGATTCTGTATAACAGATTCTGTATTATGGAGAGAACAAACCTTATCAGGCGAACTATGATTGACGAATTATGGTATAAGATCATCATAATTCGTAAAAGAAACTCTTGAAGGTATCGGTGGATGCGCAAAAAGGGTACATTCGGTATAATAAATAGTGAGATTCTGTAAAATAGATACTCTGTATAACAGATTTTGTATAATAGTGAGAACAAACCTTATCAGGTGAACTATAATTGACGAACTCTGGTATAGGATCATCAAAGCTCGTGAAAGGAACTCTTGGAGGTAGCGGTGGTTGAACGAAAAGGGTGCAGTAAGCACTCTTCACGTTTCCTGGTATAATAGTGTCGATACAAACATCGTAATCTCCAAACGAATTGATACTTCCACTTAATATTCCATTTGGTATCTTGCCTGATGAATCAACCACTGGAATTAAACAAGGGGAGTTAACAGATGTTTGGAAATAGTATATAAATAGGTTAGTTACCATATACAAGTTAGTTGTAGTATATGATAACTAGTATGACACTTAGTATGACACTTGTAGTTGTCATATACAAGTATCATATACAAGTTAGTTGTAGTATATGATAACTAGTATGACACTTAGTATGACACTTGTAGTTATCATACACAAGTGTCATATACAACTATCATATACAAGTTAGTTTGTTTTAAACATAGAAATAAAACAAAAACAATCAACCAATTCGCATGCTTATTTTCGACTATTTTTTTAAAAGGAAAAATGAACTTTTTTGCGTGTTGTAAAAATTTAATTTGCTATTTTCAATTCAGAATTTATTTTGCTACTTTTTATGTTGTGTTACATTGCGAAATAACCTTATGAACAGAAAGAGAAGCCCTTATTATTTGCTAAATTAGTATAAGGATTCATGCATAAAAGAATATAAAGTTTGAGTTTTACGATACGAAACAAATTTATTTAACATTTCCAGTGCTGCCAACTTTCTGCATTTTTTGTAAAAATTTATTCTAGTGGTAGCTAAAGTTTATATTTTAATGTGTTATTTTTTATTCATTTGAACTTATTTTTCACATTGCTACATATACTTGATTTAAAAGTTCATATGCAACGACACTTCGTTCTAGCTGTTTCGTGATGAGGCTCTTAAAATGTTGACAAAATATCCAAAAATTCTGAAAGCGTTGGTTTTTAGATGTCTACCACTCTATAAAATATTTTGCAAAAAGCGTAGTAGTTGGCAAGCCTGCATTTCAGTATTAAAAAAAAAATTCGAAAGAAGGTTAAAGGTTTACACCCTTGAAGTTAGATTTTTTAAAATTCCTTTTCTGCCAAGTAAGAATGCAAGCGCAAACCGTAAATTACGATACCACTGGCTCTTCTGCGCAGAGCTTAATAGTTGGCATTGGTTTATACTTATTTAAGTCGTATTATTTATCGTATTATTTTACCTTGGTTTTTTTTCACCTCCGGGTATTTCCCCCATTAATATCCATCTTATTTTAACGACTTGCAAAGCTATTTATTCCTCAATCAGCAAGTTTTATGCTTTTCTTAAAAAAAAAACTGCACTGGCCAACAAATTTGTTCTTTATTTTCTATTACATTTGCTTTTTATTTTCTGTTACATTTGAACGGATCTCAGATATTTTCGCATCGTTGTATTCAAATCTTTAACGTTTTCTCTCTACATGCAACAATTTTTATGCAACCTAATAATTTTTTCCTAACCATGACTTTTAGAAATTCACTCGAGTGAATACAAAGTGCCTTCACTTTTCTTCTACGTAGGAAGTGGTACAAAGAAGACAATAATGCATTTTAGTTTATGATGAGATATGTTAAGGTCATATGATTTTTGTTTGTTTGTTTGAATTGTTATTTTTTGCCATAAGTGTATATGTATGTGTTCAAATTACCATTTTGAAAGAAAAATTTACTTTAGGATGAAAATTAATTTTAGATTTCTAATCACCACTCCCGGATTAGATAAAATCAAGTACTTGGATTAATGCAACAAAAATTTTGCTGCAAAGTTTTATTTTTACTGCTATGAACTGTCTTATACAAAGCTACCAATAATTTTGGATTTTGCCGAAAATTTTGCTTTTGAAATTAAAGTAATAAAAAAGTTTTCCTTTGTTTTCATTCTGGAATTTATGTATTTAATTTAAAGTGATTTGAACCCATTACAGATGAATAGATTACACATAAATAAAATTTTGAAAATTACAAGTTGGTGTGTTTAAGTTTAGACACTACTAGTGATATTTCAAATTACATTATACTACAACTTCGAGAATCATTTTTGTATAAAGCCAAAGTTGGCAACTGTGCACACATTGTCAAAATCTATCACCCTATAACTTATCAGAACAATTAGGTGTAATTTTTAATTCTTGTATCAACCCATATTTTTTTTTAATGATTATTACATATTTTTAATTTTCTCTTTAACTCTATGTGAACCAATTTTAGGTCCAGTATAGAAATTTTATGAGATGTGGTATTATTTGTATTGAAATATGCTTAAAATACTTACTAAAAAAGAAAAAGTTTCATGCATGAAAAATAATATTTTATTTAAGAAAAATATGGTGCATGAAATTTGTTGATTTCATGAAAATGATTTTTATGAAATTTGATTTATTTTAATTTTATTTATAGAACGAGCAACTTTAATCCACCATAAGAACATATGATAAATCTCAAACGAAATAAGTATACATTTTCAAAAAATCGAATTAGTCAATAACAGTCTCAAGCTTAGAAAAAGTAGTTTAAAAATTTCTCAACAAAATTTTTTTTACTCCAATTAAAATATTAAAATTTGTCAGATGTCTTCAGAACCCTGGACAACAGCAGAAAAATAAAATTAGTGAAAAATGAACTTCACATTGTTCATGAAAAATATTTATTGAAATGTTGCGTTTACACACCTTTGGCCTTAAAATAAAATAAAATGGCTATAAATTACCTTCCATAAATAACAATTTAAAAAATAAATAAAGACGTTTGTTTTCTGTGTCACGGTAAAACTATGGCTCAACACAAAATAAGCAGAATTTTAATTATATAGTTGCAATTACAAAAGTTTCTTTTATTTATATAAATTATGATTGAATTAAATATATCTTCAGCAACTAATGCTCTTTATTTTAATCATTAAGCCTGAAAAAACTTTTTAGATCAAAAAAGAGGTGTTATTTAACAGCAATGTCTTCCGGAAGGTGAAGGATGTTCTAAATGCTCGACGACCTTCATGAGTACAATTCGAAATTGCTTGAAATAGAATAAATTAAGACTGTTTTATCAATTTTCATCACGCATTTTATCTATTGAAGCATTTGTTTATTCATTTTATCTACTTTATGTATATTTCAAATGATGATCAGAATTAAATGCAAATTACACTGGTAATGGAATAAGTTTCCTGTAATGGACGAAACTCAATGAATCAGTTTGTTTCTCTTTATGGTGTAATCATTTCTTACATATAGTTTTTTTTTTTTGAGAAATATAATATAAACATTTTACAAAAGTTACTAAGAGGAATAAAATTGTCTTAATCAATTGGGAAATGTAATTTAAATATATCAAATGCAGATACAGAGGGTTAGGACAACTGAACGACTGTATTTTAAACTTTTAAATTATCGAAACCATTACGCAGATTACAATAATTGATAAATGGCATTAAAGCTCTCTTTGTTGCTCAGTAAAAAGTGGTTTCCAAACGTTTAAAAGCAATTAGTTTTGTTTTTCTAGTAGTTTTTGTAACATTTGTTGATTAAGTGTTGCCGGATTTACTGAGTCTCACCGAAAAGGGTTAAGACATTGGAATGTTTAAAACTCAGTTCATAAACTACTGATGCAGAAAACACTGCAGGAACTTTAAGAACGTATTTGTGTAGCATTAGGACAAAAGAAAATAGGGGGTAATAGACTAGAATACCGAATTTATGTTTGTAATTTGACAAAGGGTCAGACGGATATAGAACAAATGCAACTGGAAAAAAAATCTTGTTATATTTTTCTTTAATTTTGATTATCATTTATTGAAATCTGTGGAGCAGTTTTGAAAATATAAATATTTGAAATTGGGTTATTCATTTGTACTAACCCTGTATAAAAAGTATAAATCTCATGCTTTTTTTTGAAAATTTATTTAAAATCAGTTTGGCGACCAGATTGATCACCATTCAACATTATCTAGAGCAATGCATGAACTTTAATGATAATCATGCCGAATGCGAACTAGAATATTTAAATGCGATATTGAATGCGAAGAACTAGAATATTTAAATACAATTGTGCTAGCACAATTGTATTAAAATATTCTATTCTAGTTCAACCTCTCTTCGCGCGAATACGTGATTCTCGCCAAATTTAAATTATTAACGTAGTGTAATAATTATTAACTACTGCTTCTTTCAAGAGAAAAGCTACTAATGAAACACTTGTGCTGCCAAATTTATATATTTAAAACAAATCAGAAATGCCTTTTTAAAAGGAAACTAAATACAAATGAATTAAGAGCAATGTGTTTTGTTTTTTAGTTAATGCAGATTACCACAGTATTTAAATATTTCAGTTCTTCAACCTATTCATGCGCGAATACGCAATCTTTTTCAAGTTTAAATTATTAACGTAATGAATAGTACTACTGTGTTGCTTCGTTCAGAGAAAAGCTAATGATGAAACACTAGTGCTGCCAAGTTTTTACTTTTTTAAAAATCAGAAATGCTTTTTTAAAAGGAAACTAAATACAAATGAGTTAAAACCTTTTTTTTTTGTAATAATATTTCTCAAAACAATGAGCAATGAGAGAGAAAAATGGCACATTTGACCACTGAAGGCTGTTTTTATTTTATAATAAAAGACTCGTTTTTGTAACTCAATATTTCACGTGTTAAAAAGTGAAGGTGACACATATATATTAAAGGAAAGTGTTGCTAAAATGCAAAAGATGACTAAAAAACATATGTCTTGAAATATGTATTTTCGTGAAGAGGTCACTTTGATTACTTGCTTTAAAATCTTCTCAATTTGCTTAGTGACCTTCGAAGAGCAATAAAAAGAGATTCGAGATAAAATCATAATTAATAGTAATTGGTTGAACAAACATAAACAAGGCGATGACGAAATAGTTTATTTTATTCATTGCAGTTGGTCAAGTATATTACTGGTTGAATTTTCTAGATAACATCCCCTAAGGTTATTTAATGGAGGTTAGCTTCCTTGCCTTGAAGACATTGCAACGACATTGAATAATGTCGTAAATTGCCCACCATAAGGACAATCGATAATTATTAGAAATTTTGTTTAATATATTGATAGATATTGATAGATATATATGGAATTTATGATTAGAGATAAAACATTGATAAAAAAAAATAATACTTTAAAAAAACATTCCTGTAAAACAAACAACGAATAT